TGGGTGTGGTGGCTCACACCTGTAATCCCAGGACTTTGGGAGGCTGAGGCAGGTGGATCACTTGAGATTAGGAGTTTGAGACCAGCCTGGGCAAAATGGCAAAACCCCATCTCTACCAAAAATACAAAAATTAGCCAGGTGTGGTGACACGTGTCTGGAGTCTCAGCTACTCAGGAGGCTGAGGCAGGAGGATTGCTTGAGCCTGAGAGGTGGAGCTTGCAGTGAGCCAAGAATGCGCTACTGCACTCCAGTCTGGGTGACAGAGTGAAACTCCATCTCAAAAAAAAAAAAAAAATTACTTTCCTCACAATCATAATTATAAAATGAAAGGTTCTAGATCTCCCTGTTTCCTAACTAAAATATTCTTCTTTTTTTAAATTTATTTTTTATTTTATTTTGGAAGTAGGATCTTGCTGTATTGCCCAGGTGGCGTTGAACCCAGAATCAAGCAACCCTCCCACCTCGGCCTCCCAAAGTGCCGGACGACAGGCGTGAGCAACCCCAAAAATCTTTTTATTCTCTTGTTTTCTAATAACCACCTCCAGATAACGGTGGATTTTGTGACATTTCAGGCTTTTGTTCTATTAGAGCCCTCTTTTCTTAGATGATGAGCATTATTCTCATAGGAAAATATTGGTCATTGTTTTTGTCAACAGATATATTAGAAAATGAATATGTATGAAGTTATGCTATATACAGTATTCTATCCAGTATTCTCACTGTACCATGTGCTGTTGATAGATATGTAAGACTGGCTCACTTAGCATGACATCTGTTTGAGGGCACTGGTCATGTAACACAACACACACATATGTACATGGAAAATAAGTAACCTAAGGTAATGTTTGTGAATGTGGAACAGTGCATCTTTTCTGAAGCAGCTACAACATAAACAGAGCCTCGAAGGACCAAAAACAGTAGGAATGAGGGTTATGGAGAACATTTTAGGCCAATAGAACTATGCAAAAAAGAGTTGAAGGTCAAGATGCAAGTGGCTTGCATCTGTGAGACTGAGCAGAGCACGGGCTGAGGTGGAGGGCGTTTGGAGTAAAGGAGGCCAACTGAAGCAGGTAGAAGTCCCATTCTCCAATACCTCTTTGAAAGACTGTGTATTCTAGATAAGCTAATGACTGATAAGTAATAAGTCAACATGGTAGGAGATGGATCAAAGGGATGAAAAAAATCGGGTAGATGGAAGCGATAAGATAAGGAAAAAAATAGAGTTCAGGAATTTGAAGATATCCAAGGAAATAATGACAGGGTTTTTACTCACACTGTGTTTGACACACTGGAAAACTTAACCTTAATTAGTAAGTATTGCTTTACTCTCTTTGCTCTGACAGAAGAAAACATTGAAACGGTTTGTGCTGCTTGCACACAACTTCATCATGCTTTAGAGGAAGGAAACATGCTTGGAAATAAATTTAAGAGAAGAAGTATTCTCCTGAAGACCCTATGTAAACTAGTTGATGTTGGTTCAGACTTGCTCAGCCTTAAACTTGCAAAAATAATTCTAGCAGTAAGTTTTTCTTTCCTCTGGTCTAGTAGACTATATCACATAAAAGCTTTGTTTAATGCTTTATTTGTAAATATTACAAAGAATATTAGAAATGTAGTGTATTTCTTCAGAATCTTGGAAAAAGTTAAGGTAATAAACTGACATCTCAGAATTTGACCAGGAAGTATTATCTAAGGAACTAAAGCTGAGTACATAGAAAATGTTCAAAGAAACTCTTAACATTTTTGGACTGCGACTAAGTTTAAAAAAAAAAAAGAAAAGAAAAGAAGGAAGGAAAGAAAGGCAAGAAAGAAAAAGAAATAACCGTAGGCAAATACATTCGAAACGGTTGCTCAAATAACTTGACTGGAGATCAGTAGCAGATGGTGCAGGCTGTGGTTTCTCTTGGATGTTTGATTCTGTCATATGATTTAATAAATAACTAAGTAATTTAGGCCACAGTCATAATAAACCAGGTGCTTTAGGAACCAGTGTGAAACCGAAAAACAGCTGCGTGTGGTCACAGGAAGGTACCTCAATGGTCACAGAAGGCTTTCACAAGGTGTGAGAAGAAAAGGCCAGACACCAAAAAAAAAGTCTGTAGAAACTCTGTCTCAAACAAAATGATATCATTGTTTGAGGGGAGCACTTCATTGTCTCAGCCATAAACAGTTGGAACCAAAAGATAAGCCACAATTATTATAGAATGTTCTAAGAGAGCCGCGAAAACAAATGAATGAAGCTTTGTTTTCTTGGTTTCATACAAGTAAAAGCTTTGTGCTAACACTCCATAATTTATAGAATTTAAAATCTTATAGTATACAGTGAAGGTAAGTGTTGCCATACTTACTATTAGTTGATAAGAATGCCACCTTTTCTTACACTGGTAATGAAGTCTTTCATAAAGCAGAATTTTCTGAGCATATATCTGCGTAATATCAGGGGGAGGCTACATTCTTATTTAGCTGTCAAACTATTAACTCTCTTTTTAAAAATTGTGATATGTGGTGAAGAAAGCAATACTTGTTTGAAATAGTGATTTCACGCCACGGCTCTGGTGGTGCAGCAGCTGCCCAAAGATTGCCTTTGCTATTTTAATCCGGATCCTAGACATTTTGTTCCATACCAAGCCAAAGAAAGAAAGAGTGAGGGGGGAAAAAAAAGAAAGAGCAAGAAGGAAAGGAAGGAGGAAGGAAGGAACATGAATTCTTTTAATGCTTTGCAGAGAAAATATTATTTTGGTTATTAATGGTGTCATTCAAATTAATTATCTATATATGGCACAAATTTTATTATTTTAGGGCAAAAGGCTAAATGATCTGCCAGGCAGTGAACATGTTTTGAG